AGGTAACTAATTTTCAATGATATTAATCCTGTTAGCTGTTTATTATTAGTTTGTAAAGATTGTATCATTTCTAAAAGTGCCTCATTTTTGGCTCTGTTATCAAACCATTTTCTTAAGAATATAATATAAAGAAAAAACCAAGTCCCAATATCTAATAAATGGATGCATCACAATAACCATATAAGCTTTGCAGAATACAATCCATAGTATTAGCAAAAAGTTACTAAAATTGTAGTATTGTCTGCAGTTATATAACTTTCCAGTTTATTGATAATTAATTAGTAAAAATATTTACCTAGCATGAGGTCTGGTAAATTGTTTTAGGGGTAATGATCTTTATTGTCCAGCAGGTGTCATGGTTGAAGAGTTGCCAGTACAACCTGGTGCCACCAACAGTCCTGAGCCGCTTTGGCTTTCCCGCCTTAGGGCTGGATAAATACTGAGAAATATGGCTTGCTTGGCAACTTCGAAGCAATTAAATCAATTTTGTACATGGAGCAAAAAGCCCAGAACTCACAGGCAGGGAGCACAAACTGGAAGCTGTGCAAGTCTCCACAAGTGTGGCAGGGAACTTGGCAGTGGAGGTAAGGGGCATGTGCGTGCTTGGGAAATTTCCAAGTTGCCACATGCGGTTAGTTCTGCTGTTGCAGGGGTTGGGGGTGGGAGACTTTCTGGTCCGTGGATTTAGGCCTTTAAACCAGTCCACCTGGTAAGTGTGGAGTCCAGATCCACCTGGGCGCCAGATGAAGAAAGAAGCTAAAAACGAAATCCCACACTAGCTCAGAATTGAGTATGATAAAAGGTTGTTTAGGGGTAGACTCACAGATCACAATCCTCTGCTCGAACGGGGAACAGGAACCGAATCCAGCAGCCAGGAAAAAGGCCGGATACATGCTTTACATTGGCATATACAGTATGAGGCCACACCCCTGTAAGCGCGTAACTTTTTTTGTTTTTGTTTTTGTTTTGTTCGAGACAGGGTTTCTCTGTAGCTTTGGAGCCTGTCCTGGAAGCAGCTCTTGCAGACCAGGCTGTCCTCGAACTCACAGAGATCTGCCTGCCTCTGCCTCCCAAGTGTTAGAATTAAAGGTGTGCACCACCACCAGTGGGCGGGTAACTTAAAGGCTACTATTGGTAGGAATTCCTACACCAGGAAGGGTTATTTGGTTATAGTGGGCACAGTCTTGAAGCTGGACTGGGAGGCCCTGGAGGCCAGGATATCTGCAGCGAGCAGAACCTCGGGACCCAGTCTTGGCAGAACTTGCAGTGGCACAATCCCGCAGGACAACGTCATCTGCTGAGCAGTGAGGTGTGCTCAGGCCTGAGTCTTCTGGATCCTGGGAAAGGGTTTTAGAAGGGGATGATAGACTTCCACTGGTTTGCAACTCATTGATTTGAAAATTACCCATCTCCCCAGCTTCCACGGGGACTGTCCACTCTCAGGACTCTTCCTCCTCTGTCTCCTCCAGCTCCCTGGTATCCCTGCTACGTGAGAACTGAGAAACCACACTGGTCTCCCAGACTGCCACCCCTTGGTAGTTACGTCTTGAGGTCACCCCCTCACTCTCCTCTGACCCACAGACACCTTCACTTGGCCTGGATTGGGCTCTGGGTTGTCTGTCTCAGATCTAACAACTGTATCACTGTGCCAGGCTCTGCCCACAAGGCTCTGTGGGGTGAACACAGAAGTCACGTTGTCCCCCTAGACAGTTGCAGGGGCCTCAAAGGGCCCAGAGTTGTAACTAGGTGGAGCCTCTCTCAGCAATTCTAGGTGAAGGGCAGAAGGATAGTTCTGTGTGGACTGAGATTACACAGTGGAAGCTGTTTTCATCACTTTCTTTTCTGGGGCTTTCTAGACAGGTTCTCCCAGGGCTTTCTAGACGGGTTCTCGCAGGGCTTTCTAGACGGGTTCTCCCAGGGCTTTCTAGATGGGTTCTCCCAGGGCTTTCTAGACAGGTTCTCCCAGGGCTTTCTAGACAGGTTCTCCCAGGGCTTTCTAGATGACGGGTTCTCCCGGGGCTTTCTAGATGGGTTCTCCCAGGGCTTTCTAGACGGGTTCTCCCAGGGCTTTCTAGACGGGTTCTCCTAGGGCTTTCTAGATGGGTTCTTCCAGGACACTGGCCGTTTGGATAATGGAGTCATCTCTAGAGTCCCAGGACAGAGAGGCATTGGAGGACCATGGAAAGGGCAAAGCTATAGTTTTCTTCATGTTTAAAATATGTATGGTCTTGAGGCCTCTGAGGGGCAGGCTCCATCTGTGCCTCACCAGGTGTCTTGTAATATGTGCTTCTAGCACCTTCTGAGTGCCCGGATCTAGGAAGGAAGGCCCATTAGTAGTTTTCTCGCTAGTGGGTGAATCATTGAAAGATTTTTTCCCCCAAGTTTTCATATTTGGCTTTGAGATTTCAGACAGGACCAATGCATGGTCTAAACATATTCCATGACAGGTGCCCACAGGCACCTTAGTGTTGCTGGTTAGCCTCCACTTACTATTTGAGTGATTTCTCAGGGAGCCTTCTAACTGCTTCTTTCCTGGTCCCACTGGGGAGACACTTTGCACATCACTTCTTGGGTGTCTCATGTGGCAAGTTTCCACCTCTGTCTCAGGAACAGCCTCGAGAACTTTGCCTAGGGAACCTTCTGGGGGCCTGCACAGAGATCTTCCCAGACATTTTGTCAGATCCTCGGGTGGGTTCCTCCATGGTTGGAATTTCTCTGGACCCTTTGATGAGACACTCTGTGTATGCTGACTGCCTTCATTTGCCTGTGCTGAGGGACATGAAGTCCTGTGATTAACTTGTGCCTGACCCAGGTCCAGAGATAGCTGGACTTTGTGGGGCCATTGTCCTTGGTGTTATGTGAATCTCTTTTTTAAATGTTCTTCCATCACCTCCTGGAGTTCAGGGCTAAGAAATTCCCCTGGAGATGGACAGCAGACCCCTGGCCCTGCGAGACCCATCTGTTGGAAGTGTGTTGATTGTCAGGAGCCAATTTCCTCCTAGGATTATTGCAGGAACCATCACCCTGGGGAGTCTGCAGAGAACCCCACACCCCTAATTGTGTTAGGAATCGTTCTATTGACAGAGCCTACCCCACACCCAAATTGGCTGTTAATGGAGAGCTATCTGTTAGCGGAACCCACCCCATATTCCAAACTATCTAGAGAACTAGGTGTGTCAATTCGTGACTTCCTGGCCTATGTGACCTGACCGAAGGTAACCTCCGGACCATGTGACCAACGTGAACCACGCGGCAAGAGTTCAGGCCCCTGTGCCCACCCCTCAACTCCTTACCCTATATAAGCTGTACCCCATCTCTAATAAACGGAGGCTCTGACAAACCTAGCATGGCCTCCTTCCTCTCTCTCAGCTCATATCTTCCAGATAGTGCCTCTCTGGGACCCTGGAATAACTGAACTGCCAGGTGGGTTACTAACCCTAGACTGAGTAACCCGCCAAAGGCAATCAACAGTTGATTAAATGCTTCCTGTGGTTTTTTAACCATGACTGGTAAATTGCTCATACTTTCTAGGTGCTTCTTCAAAAGGTGGCACTCTAGGAGTTCAACAGCAGGCGGGACAATAAGTAGGGTTCTTGAGGGTGTAGGGCAAGAAGCCCCATCGTTCCTAATTGGAGCTGAATCACATGGTAGCTTTGAGAGAGAGGATGGGTCACGGGCCTGGGTTTGGATTCTAGTCTTTGGTGGAGATCTGGACCAGGAAAACTTCGGAGATGAAGGTTGAGATTTGACTGAGTGATGAAGCAAGGGCTGTGGAGAACAGAGCTGTGGAGGGTCCTTTGTCTAAACATGTAATGGGCTGTAAGCAGAAAGCCCATTGAATAAAATAGAGGGCAAACTAGTGGGGACCCTACTATGCTGACAGTAGCCACAAGGGACTCACTGTGGAGAAACGGGAGACCCCAGTAAAGCTGGTTATATGTCTCCTTGAAGTCGTTGCCTAAGACCTTCTGGTGACCTGGAAACTGCTCAGATATGCAGTTTTTGTTCCAGAGAAGGCGTGAGGTGATGGTGGCCGGTTTGCTGCTCCAGGAGTAAAGCATACTGCCCATACAGCCCAAGGAAAGGTCAGATTTTTCTTTTTCTTTCCCCTTCCAAACTTTTAGTTTGACTCTTTTGCTAGTTTGAATTTCCATCATCTCCTGGATATCAGGGTTAATGAAAGAGGGCTCCCCAGCCTCTTTCTGCCTGTATGTGGGGCCTGCCCAGAATGAGGCCTTGTGAATGGTGAGAGAAAGATCCTCTTGCAAGGACTCATCATGTGATGAGGTGGAGTGGCATAAGGTTTTGTCAGCTACCTGGTACCTGAAAGGGCCTGAGATAGGCCTACTTGAGTGGTCAAGGCCCGGGGTGGTTGAGGTAGACCTGCTTAAGTGGTTAAGGACTGGGGTGGTTAGGGTAGGCCTGCTTAAGTGATCAAAGCCTGGGATGGTTGAGGTAGACCTGCTTAAGTGGTCAAGGCCTAGGTTGGTTGAGGTAGACCTTCTTTAGTTATCAAGGCCTGGGATGGTTGAGGTAGACCTGCTTAAGTGGTTAAGTACTGGGGTGGTTAGGGTAGGCCTGCTTAAGTGATCAAGGCCTGGGATGGTTGAGGTAGACCTGCTTAAGTGGTCAAGGCCTAGGTTGGTTGAGGTAGACCTTCTTTAGTTATCAAGGCCTGGGATGGTTGAGGTAGACCTGTTTAAATGGTCAAGGCCTGAGGTGGTTGAGGTAGGCCTTGAGGTGACTGGCCTGAGAGAAGGCAAACCTGGCAGATGTGTGTTCTTTGAGGTTGCCAGTATTTTCCAATCAAACTGAGGAGCTGCCATGCTGAGATCTGTCATAGGTGGAGGACAAGTCACAGAATCCAGAGGATGAGATGGGCAGCAAGGTGCCCATTGTGGTGGTGGTGAATGGCATCCAGGAGTCAAGGCCAAGAGGCAAGTACAGATGACTGTGACGTAATCTGTGAGGAATTCAGCAGGACGGGTGACACGGGTTGAGAATCTCTGGGCAACAGGTGTTTATTACGAGAAGCAAAGGAAGTCTCTAGGGATGAACTGGTGGCCACAGATGCCTCTGTGGGCTGCCTAGGTGGCAGATGGGCTTTGGCAGCTTCTGGTTTGAATGCTTCACCTGAGGCATCTTAAGTGCTGCCAAATGCTGATGGTGTTGACAAGTCTCTTTTGCATGCTGTAAGAGACAGGAGATATTGTAGAACTCTAGGACAATTCTGAGGCCATTTCTGAGGCCTCTCAGCCTTAGTCCTTCCCCCTGCTCCCCCAGGAACCTAACAACTACACATGCATGTACTGAATTTTTGGGACTTTCCATCTCCCTGTGTTCTTGTGGATGTTCTCCAAATAGATCTCCATTCCCAGAATTGGCACAAGATAACCCACAGATGTCCACAGATGTTTTGACTCTCTCCCTGGAAAGGGGGCAAAGTAACACTCAGATGTTCCCTCTTACCTCGCCTGATCTGGCTCACACCAATTATTGTTAGTAGCCCTTTGAATAAGCCAATCCTAATAGTTGAAAAACAACCTGAGAGTCCCTCCCCCCCTTTGTTTCTATGGCTTTTTGCTTTAAAAAAACTTGTGACAGTCATCATTCGGGGTCTTTTGGCTTCTTGAATGCTGAAGGACCCTGTTGCAACAGAATTAAATCCTCTTGCTTTTACATCAACTGCGGTGTGAGAGTGGTCTCTTGGGGGCAACTCCTCCTCGGTAATTGGACTTTAGGGTCCAACAATATGATTGTAACCAGGAGCTCATGGGGCCAGGAGGTGGGACAAGATGAATGGGGAAGGACCCTCACAGCCCATCACAACCACTGTTCCATACTCTGCTTTTTACGAGACCTTGTTATCTTAACCTCAGGACTGTACTCACATCCCACCCATCCAGAGAGCCACTATTCCCAGGATAACCTCATGCCCTGGTCACGGGTGATCACATAGCAGGCAACAGGAGTGAGCCAGAGAGAACTGGAGATGGCTCACCTGTGCAGAAGTGAATCCAGCACCTCTTCCTCCTTTGGTTTCTCCCTATTGCCTCTGTAAGCTGGAAATGGAGAGTGGGTTATTGGTGGGTATAGGAGGGACCAGGTATCTTACCAGAGACTGAATGAACTGTCCTTCCATAGAAATGAAAGTTAAACAGGAGCTTAGACATCCATGAGCAAGGCCATGTGCCCAAATGCATGGAGAGCAAGACGCATGTTGGGCAGGACAATGCCATGAACCAGGAGCCTCCACTTCTAAGGACCTCCATAGGCGTCATTATCTCCCTGTGGAGGGCAGGGAAGGACCAGGGCTCTGAGAGAGGAAAGTGTCTCAGAGGCAAACCACCAATTTACCTCCAAAACAGGAAGCATGGCACCACTTCATCACAGGGCACCACCTCCTCCCACACCATCCCTCCCAAGTCAGTACCCAGTCCTGGCTGCCCATAGCTTCATTCTGAGCACAGAACCTGGGGAATGTCTTCAGTTCTGGATTCCTTCCCAGGAGCTGCTGCCTTGAAGGTCCTGCAGCTCATCAGTGTAATCATGGAGTAGGGGTGGGGGAAGGCTGAAGTCACCTCACCAGGGAAGGAAGTAGCCTACCTCTCACAGTCCTGACTTTCTTCCTGACTTTGTTGTGCTCCCTCTTCACCACGAGAGAGAGAGAGAGAGAGAGAGAGAGAGAGAGAGAGAGAGAGAACCAGCCCCATTGACGTATCTATAATGTGGACAAATATGTGTTCTTTTTCTCTTGGAAAACTCAAATGGGGGCTGTCTCTGTGAGATCCACCATGAATGTAATTGATCAAAGTTCTGCTGAGGAACCAGAGGCTCAGCTCTGAACTACCAGCAGTCGCTTCCTGATGTGCTGGAGGTCATCGCCCCCTTTCATCTCAGCTGGATCAACCCTATAAGCCTGTATGTTAGAGGGGAACACAGAAACCATCGCTCAGAACCTTTCCTTTCTCAGAGGTCCCTAACCAACCCAGGAACACCACCCCTGACCACTGAGTCACAAGGCCTCTCCCAGGTATGGATGTTCTGAGAGCAGACATTTTGGAGCCCCCTCTCCCCTCTGCCCTACCTGCCAGTTCTCAAGAGGATGGGGTCCTGTTTCAGGCTGAGATCCCCTGTCAGCCCCCTATTTGATTTGGAAAGTGAAGCCTGGAGAGAGAGGAAGCTCTTCTTCATTGGTTTGGGCCTAAGGCATACTTACGATTTTGGTGGTGGTGTTTTCTGCTGGTGGAGGTGAGGGTGAGTCAAGGTGGAGGAGGGGTGATAATAGGTGGAAGAGCCCCAGCCCACACACAAAGGCAAGGATCATGTCCATTGTCCAAGTGGTGGAGCTGGGGGTCAGCCATGAAGGATTAATGCTTTCCAGAAGAGAGAGAAAATTCTCCATCTGAATCACACTGTTATTCTCAGGCTACTGAAGGCTGAGAGTTCTCTCTGGGTGTTGGCAGCTGGGTCAGGTCCACATCACAGAGCTCCTGTCTCCCTGTCACAAAGGGCTCTTTTCAGGGGCCAGCCTCGACAAAATTACCTTTCTTCCAGAGTGGATGCATGGGAATTTAGAAATATAGTAAAGAATATAAAGACACAAATGAAAATAATAAAACCCAGAGACAAATAGGATAGTATTGGGAGGGAATTTCAGTGAGTTCTGAAAATTCATCCATGTTTAATTTCCAATAGCTTATTATACCCCTGACTTCAAAAGGTAGGAGCAGAACAAAATGACTGCATTAACACACAAATTGAAAGTCAGGGGGTCCATTCCTCACTCAGGCCCTTGACTCATGCCTTAGACCAAACACTCTGTAGGCAAGTTACTCCTGGGTGGAATCCCAAGTTATTTCCATAAAGGGAACTAGAACTTAGTTGGATCCTTAGACTTTTGTTTTCGGTAGGAACCAACTACTTCCCTATTTCAGGAGCAGGAGGTCGGGTAACAAGCCACACCTGTGGACAACAGCTTTGAGAGAACAGAACTCTGATTTACAACTAGGTGGGATCTTTGTTTGAGTTAGAGGTACAATAATCTCGAATGAACTAAAAAACAAGTCCCGGACTCTCTGACCTTTGGCCTCTTTGGGCCTCCAAAGAGTGTGGAGAAGGGCTCTAGGAAGAGCTGACCAAACAATCACTCCCTGTCCGCCAGGCTTCACATGGGCTCCATCCTCCACAGCCTTTTGTGTCTGTTTCCAATTCCATCTGCACACTCCATCAGAAATAGAGTCCTGTCCATTTTCTTTTCCTCTCCCACCCCTAGAGAGAGGTTTGTCTGTGTTCTGAGACCTCCATGCTACCTCCAGTGACATACCTCCTCCAAAAGGTCCCACCTCATAATCCCTTCTAGAAGTTCTACCAACTGGAGACCAAGCACTCAAATATATGAGCCTATGGGTTTATTCCAACCATGACATTCTATTCTCTGCCCCCCCCCATAGGCTTTTAGCAATGTCATAAAGCAGATTTCACTTCATCAAAGTTCCAAAGTCCCCATAGTCTTTCATAGTCTCATGTCAGGAGCCATTTCAGGCTCCTCCTTTCTCACATCTCACTGGGCCTTGAGGTGGAAATCTTGAGACAGAAAACTCAAAGTTAACTGAGACATTGTATACTGACCTTGGAGGCTCAAGCTCCCGGTGGCACCTCAGAGTGTCTTTTTTGTTTGCTGCTTATCACTAACAGCAGGTGCTCTAGCCCTTGACCTCACAACTGCCCCGCTTTGTTGCCTAGCTATGGAGCCACTCCTTTCCTTCCCCTCCTTTCCCCCCCCCCCCTGCCCAATCTCCTCACTGACGAGTATATAAGATGTAAAACTTGCTTCAATAAAGGGGATGCCTTGACAAGGAATACTGCTTGGTGTCTCTTCCCCCCCCCCCCCATGTCTTTCAGATAGTGCCTGTTCTGGTTTTGGTCCCTTTAAGAGACAAGCCACACCCACTCCCCTCCCCATCCGCTGAGGCAGGCTGATCTTCAGCTTCTGGCCTGAGCTCATTCTCTCTTTTCCACCTTCCTCTCAGAGAGGCAGCTTCACTTCTGCCTCTCTCCCCACTTCTCTGCTTCCCCCCTTCTCTGTCTCTTTTTCCTCTCTCTCTCTCCCTCTCTCTCTGTCCCCCCCTTCACCCTTCCTCCTCCATAACCCCCTGAATAAACATTCAACCTCACCCTGCATGTCGTGTCTATCCATGTTTCTGTCTTCTGCCCGCCTGCCATGTGTCTCCCTGCCTGGGACCAGCCATTGCTCAGGGACCAGCAGCCTACTCTGCCTGGGGCCCACTGCCTGCTGCCACATGGCCCGCCACCACCGCTCAGGCCACCACTGCTCTGGGACCGGCAGCCATTTCTGCCTGGGACTGGCTGCTCCCAGGGCCTGCTGCCTGCCATCACATGGCCGGCCGCCACCATTTGGGACCTACAACATTTCTGCTGCCTACTGCTGCGGGGATCTTGGAGCATTTTTTAAAAAAGAACAACAGTGCCTCTTCAAGACCCTGGAGTAACTTAGGACCTGCTGGGCGGGCCTTGTAAATAGAATAGCCAGTTGTAAAATAAAAACTTAAGCATCTAAGAAAATAGCTGGGATTGATTTATCCTTGATTGGCTGAGAAAGCTGCTGACAGTCTGTTTTCATTCTCCTAGACTTAAAACTTTATATTTCTTTAATTTTACATTCTTATTTCTGGAATATTCATTTTTATATTCTTATTCTTGGACTCTTCACCCACAAGGCCTCAACCCTAAACACAGAACTATAGACAACTGAGGAAAGCTGTGGGTGGGAGAGATGGTCCTCCCCAGGAGAGGTGGTCCTCCCCAGGAGAGGTGGTCCTCCCCAGGAGAGGTGGTCCTCCCCAGGAGAGAGCACACCATCCTGTTGTCCAGTGCCAAGTGGTCATCTCCCAAACAGACACACAGGTAGCATTAGACAGGCTGAACGGGTTATATTTAGGAATATAGATGCATATACAATTACACATTTGCATGTGATAACAGTAAAAAAAAAAGAGGCATGAATTTGAAGAAGAGTGGGGAGAGGTACCTGGAGGGTTTGGAGGGAGAAAAGGGAAGGGGGAAATATAAATATATTTTAGTAAAAAATGAAAAAAATTGCTTCTATAGGAATGGTAGAGTCTTTGAATGAAATGATGGTTTCCCAAACCAATGTTGATGATAATAAAGTAGGTAATTAAAGGAGAAAATAGAAGAACCAACCAATTAACCAGCACAATAATGTGCCAAACCAGCCTTTCACAATGATAAGTCCCATTTGCTTGTTCCATATAATATTTATCCACTTTTAATGGTTATTTGGGAGGGGCTTCCAGACACAGAGAAGCTCTGCCCACAAAGCTCCTTCCCCTTGTTGCAATGTTTGACTTCCAGAGCTGTGGGCAGAGGCTGCATGCATGGTAGAAGTTGCTTTAGCTCTCCTCCATGTCTTATTTAAAATCTGCTCAGTGTGAGCTCTGACCAGGTTGATTATAACACACACTCCCAGATCATTATTACATCCTACATTTCCATATAGATTGGAAACCTTTCATTTACTTCAGATGTAAATTTTCTTCAGACAAAAGAGATGGAAAGTGATTAACTCTAGAAGGATGTTTGGATTCAGGCAGGGGTCTCACTGCATGCAGCTGCAGTTACTCTTCCTTGTGACATCCTCTATTCTAAGGCAGGTGCAGCCCTGTGGGACCAAGCCCTTGGCTATACTGTGTGTGGAGAGATGCTTTGCAGTGTGTATATTGAGTATAGAACCCTCAGTTGGTGTCCACCAAGGAGCCGGGTGTTGGTGGAGATGATGTCTCAGATTCTGGTGTAGAAGATTTTTGTATTCATGATGAACATGAGGGTTTGGGGAATATATTTAGGACTGACATTCCTGGACTGTTTGGTAACCACATTTAAGGAGCATCCAGACTTTGGTGCACAGCGGAGGCACCATTTCCAATCCCATCAGCAAAGAAAGGGTTCCCTTTTCTCTACTTTCTCACCAATGTTTGTTATTATCTGTCCTTGATGTAATTGCTTTCTTTGTGGATATGACCTCATTGTGGTAAGCTTATTTTCTTCTTGTTTTTAAAGCTAGCACACCACACGTTTATAAAAACATTTAACTATGGAGCCATCCCTCCATCTCCATTAAACTCTTTCTATGCAACACTGGCATATTTTTTTTCTAAATGTTCTCTTTAGTAAATAAAATCTCTCAATCTAAACTTATTTTTTTAAAAAAAATTGAAATGAATAGAATTAACATTCTTCTGACACTTAATCATTTTCAGAAATCTTGACTTTTTTTTTAAATCTTGGCTTTCAACTACGATTCCAAGAATTAATTTTGTGTTGACATTAGATTCTTTGAAATTGACTTTTAATGTAATATTCTTAAGAACACTTAACTTGCTTATCTCTCCTTACCCATAAAGAAACACATCATTCTTTACGGCTTGCTCTCATCACAAGGGGCAGCTGGAGCTGCAAGGTGCTGGGGATGGGACGACCTGGCAGAGAATGCCAGAGCCAAGAGCTGAGCAAGCAGAGCCTGAAGGACCTCCCAGGAGCTCAGTTATGCCAGGTAGATGTGGGTGCCTGGCCGCACCCATCCTCGGGCACTTATTCTGTGGTCTGCGTAGATCTGGGGGGCAGTGGTGGGGGAGAACACTGTTGAGCACAGCAGATCATGAAACTTAGTGGGCAACATAAAGCTGGAAGTTATATCTCTACAAAGGAAACTGTGTGTTTGTTACTAAAAATGAAGCCATGGTGAGACAGGGTGGCTTGGTTTAAAGAATACAAAGTGTTTTGTCTTTCCGTGAGCACAATCCCAGACTGTTTTGTACATTTATGGGAACACGCTCATTCTAAACCCTTAAGTTGTCATGGAGACCACAGAAGGACGAGAGTAGTCTGGATCTTCTGAATGCGGCTGACAATTGGTGCAGAAGCCAATGAGAATGGCACTGGGATTTGTCTCTACTGCATGTACTGGCTTTTGGGGATCCTAGTCTATTTGGATGCATACCTTCCTAAGCCTGGATGGGGGGGGGCTTGGACTTCATGGAGGACTGAGAGAGTTAAGAGGACAGGAAGCTGTGACACTTGAGTTAGCTTAGCATGGAGGTTAGCCACATGGTGGACAAGCGGCCTCAGAGCAGGAAGGGGAGTTTTAAACAAATAAAAACCGAAAGTGTTAGTGAGAGCATGCTTGAAACACAGGCAGAAAGGAGAAAAGGGCAAGTCATACTTCTCTGGGTGAAACAGAAAAGCAAAACCACTTATGAGTTATTGCTTTGTGAGCTACTGTGATAAGGGGAGGGAATTCTGGAAAGGAGAGTGTGATCTCACTAAAAGGATAATTATTCCTCCTGTCTCTTTAGCTTGGCTTACTGAGGATCTGGCTTCCAGAGTGGGAGGCCTGACTCCCTGTGGGATGGTCTCTTAGACAGGTATCTGACCTGACAGGGTCCATTCACATCAGAGGTCCTATTGTCTAGATCTGAAGAAAATAATTTTCTGCCAATGGGCCTTGACTACTTCTGTAACAATACTTATTCTCTGAACATCTTTTTCACCAATTTTTAAATTATTCTCCTTCCTAAGTCTCTGACACAGAGCCAAACCATTGTCTATGGTCCACAAATTAGAACAGAGTTGAACATCTGGTCATTTTTTTTTCAAGCAAAATATGTGGCCATGTGCCTTGCTCAGGGTTCTGACCATGGGAAGATGTCTCTTGAGTTCATGGTTGTCCCAGATAGGGGCTCTAATAATGTAGATGTACCCTCTGTGCGGTTTCTGCTCAGTGTGAAGAACCATCAGTACCACACCCTGACCACTTTCTCAGTTCTTTCTAGACTATATGAAGCCAAAGGTACGTGTTGGGGCTAGAAAGGCATTGCTACAGATAGATCTAAGAACCATAGACATTTGAACAATTTTTTCTCGTAAGTCGCTTGTTCCCTCAGGATATGCTCAACAACATATATCACAGCTATTCGATGACAGATTCCATCTATGAATGTCTAATTTTATGGTTTAGTGAGTCACATCAATCTCAACTCATGAAGTCTTGCTCGGATCACATGGTAACATTGATGGTACCATGGTAACACATGGTAACTCAGAACACATTGGTGTTCCACTGTCAAGCCTTCAGTTCCCACAAGGGCCAGTAATAAGCCCATAGCTATTTTTCAGAGAAGTTGTCTAAAGGTGATCATCATCGAACCTTGCTCCAAATTCTCAAGGGCCTCTCCTGAAATTCGCTCACAGAGTCTGCCAAAGACTCCAAACAGCACTCTTAGGTGCTGCTGAGACCAGAAGTCCAATCAAGTATGCTGGATTACATGAGTCAAGTGAGAGAACATTCTACAGAGACGCCTGGACCATTGAAAACCCCTATTTTGTTCTGGCTCCACTGGAAGGCAGCGGCTTTAAGGTTCGCTTGCTATACGGGTTTGAGTAACACACTCAAGTGAGGATTGTGCTGCTTTCAAAATCCACCGAGCTCTGTGTGTCTTAGTCAACGGGCTTCCCACCCAGCCATATGCAAGCAACCCAAAGTAAACCGAGGGAGACTCTTACCGAAAAGAGCCATTAAGGTAGAAGGGATATTTGTTAGAGAAAGTTAGTTTACATGACAGACAGGAGGTAAGAAAGTATATTGGGGCGATAGAAAATGACAAAATTAGTTATGTATATACAAAACTATTAAAGAATAAAAATTAAATATGAACAGCTTTCTGTATGTCAAATACAAACTTGAAGAGAAAGAAGTCAAGAAAAAAATTCAATTAAAAAGTTTTTTTTAAATACCCAGGAATCCACCTAACCAAGGTGGTAAAGGATCTCTGTAATGAGAACATTAAGACGACAGAGAAACAGGGATGAAGAAGCCTGAAGATGGAAAGTTGGCCCATGCTCATGGATTGGTATGACGGTGTAACAATTAGTAGAATATCAAAAGTTATGTAGCTAATGGCCTTTTGACTAAAATTTCAGTGTTCTTCAGAACACTACAAAACAGCTTTAAAATTTATAGGAGAACACAAAAGATATATTTTGCATGCTGACACAGGTATGAATTTCTTTCATGACTGGGCTGTGTTGGGTTATGATAGGGTCACTTGCGTATGACCTACATGCCTGTGACCACAGACCTTGGTCTCTAGATGGCTTCTACAAGGCCTCAGTTCAGCTAGAACACGGTTCTGATCCGTTCGTGAGAAAAGAGTTTCACGGCACAGGTGCAGTGCAGTGGAATAGAAGACAGTCTCTTCTCTCTCACCAAAGACAAACAATTTTCACTTGTCAAACCCAGGTGAATTAAAATCATTAAGTTGAACAAAATGTCAAATAAACTTTCAGGTCATTGTTAAACGAGGGCATCTAAAACCCTGGAGACGAAGCTCAAGCAAAGGTGGAATCCCGACTCTCTACTGAAAAGGGCCACAGACACTGTCTCCCAGAACTCAGTTTCCACAGTCAGCTGCACCATCAAACAGAATTATATCTTTTACCTACATAAAAACTTACAGAACCAAAGCCAGAAAGAAAGCAGAATACTACAGTTAAAACCAAGCTTTATTTTTAAGACATTACAGTGTATGCTCTTTTTATTAAAGCAAATTTAAAGATCCTTGTTAGAATCGATAACGTAAAGGACTTCAGAGCATGCAATAAAATATCAGTAAGATTTTCTTAGTGCTCACACAACAGCGTGGACCTTAAAAGTCTTGAGTGTTGGATCCCTCACAGGACAGGCTGGCTAGTATAATGGAGGAGGCCCCTCGCTGTAGAATGGAGGAGGCCCCTCGCTGTAGAACGGCGGAGGCCCCCTCGCTGTTTCTTCTTTTGGCCTGCTCTAACCTTGTCACCATCATGAAGCGCACATCTTGGGGCAGCATGCTTCTGAGACAATGGTGTAGGAATTTATATACTCTGGCTGCCTTTGCATTGCCATCCAAATCCCAACTGCTACTCTGGCTGGAAGAAAAACACGTTGCGTGAACCCCAAAGAGAGCAGCAAAGCAGCTTTAGCACAGGATCTGCCTGGAACTTCTACCTTTCGTGTTCACCACCCACGGTCAAACCAAACTAAGAGAACATCTACAGTGAGCAAGGAGAGGCTGTCATCCGTAATCAAACATCAACTCTAGCCACTAATTCAGAGCTGCACACTTAGTCAAACAGGGAACGGGGTGTTTATCCACAGCTGACGTAAGTGAAGACCAGTTCCTTCTTGGCTTCCCAGTTTACCGTGGGCGACACAGCTACACATTTCTGTCCTCTGTCACACGCTCAAGTGCAGGAACGGCACTCAAGAGACGCGTGTCAATTACCTCCTGGTCTTCCAATACTGGGTCCAAAGAGCAAGTCATCATTTCCCAGAATTCATCACTAGTCTCCATGGAAAAGCAAACAAAACATCGAAAACCAACAGATAGCAGAGAAGCGTGAAAAGAAAAACCACAGCGTTGACAATTCACACGCCACTCACCAGGTCGCTAAGCTCATTCAGGCCCATGCAGAAGCTGCTCTTGCCCTGTTCATATTCTGTGTTGTGCTCCTCGATTTTCTTCTTATTTTCTTCCCACACCATTCTTCTGTGGCCTTCTTCATCCTGGAAATCAACAGAGCAGGTAATATTTCTTTCCTATTAACTCCCACACAAGCTGACCAAAGGAAGTGTAGGGACAGGCAAAGTGGATCCATGGAGAGGGACCTCAGGACACGACATCCTCCGCACCCAGAGGATCAACGAGACTGATCACCTGGAGTTCATAACACCAGTCTTTAGGCAATCCCTTGGCAACGGCTGGTCTCTGTAGCCACGTCCATGTCCACGAACTTTTTAGAGGTAAGATCATTCTCTCTGAGATCTCCCTGGACTGCTTCTGTTACTAACCTGGCTGTAAGTTTTCTCATATTTCCTCTTCCACTCCTGCCATTCAGCATCTAAACTGGGATTAGCTGGTGAAGAAGCCAAAGCCATTTCCAAGCAAAGGATAGTTGGGAAAACAACAGGAGTCAGGTATCACAAACCTAGAGAAAGAAGTGCAGGGTTAGCCATAGCAAAGCTATTGACATGTTTATTTTTGCAGTATCAGTCAGTTCGATCTCATGCCCTGTGCACCTTGGCCGGTGTCTGAAATAGTTTCCAAGGTAGAGGCTGAGGCTAGGACTGCTTAGTCCTTGGCTGTCTAGGAGCTGCTTAAATGCAAAGGAGGCCCCCAGGGCACAGGCTCAGCCCCGCCTCCAATCCAATCCCCTCTGGACGGTTGCTCTCCCTACCTGGAGGCTTTGGACCACCACCTGGCATCGTGTGCAAGCTCAATTAGTTCATCTGGGTCACAGAGTTAAACATTGTGGCTCAGGAGACAAACTAGATCCCAGGCCCAAGCTCTGTGTTATAGGACGAGACTTTTCTGAGAAATCTAAAACTCACATAATATTCTGTTTGTTACAAAGAAAATCTTCAGGGACATCAAAAATCATGGCAGGATGACACCAATGGGGACAGCTAGTGTCCTACAGTCCTTCCTACCTCAGATTCTGTGTCTGCACGGAGAGCATGTGCTAGTCTAAGAATCGTGAAGGCGCTGCTGACAGCAATCTGAAGAATTAAGGGTAGGTGTCTGTGTCTGCCTTGCCTGAAGCAGCCTCTGACCATAGGAGCATCTTCAGAGAGGATGAAATACCCACCCCAAACCAGAGATGTTAGACACGCTTGTCATTTCTCCTGGCCATCAGTGTCTCTGGAACTCTCATCATGACGAAAGAGCATCTGAGTTGCCTGAACCAAGGAAGAGATGCCTCATGCCCAAAGGGTGGCCTACAGGGTTGGACTGGACACATGAAACTCTCTGTGCGGACGTCCCCATTACGCTGACTAGATAACAGGGCATGATTGCAAAGCAGATGGAGCAAACATCAGAAAAGAGGATACAGTGTGACTGAAAAATACAGAGAATGTAAATTACTGCGTGTGAAGAGATCTGGTGTGTTTCTATTTTAATATGTCACAGAAAAAAATAAAAAAAGTGGATTCATGCACATTTTCCTCTGAGTTTTCCAGTTTTATTATTCACATGTTAGACAGATAATTGATATTTAAGGATGTTCGTATGTTTATTACAGGCAGAATTGGATGGATACAGCCGTATAGAGTGTGTGTGCTTCTTCCTCAGTCAGGTGGATGCCAGTCTGCACAGCAAATTGAAATATACAGATAATAGGAACAAAGTTTAGCTCGACATTCTAAACAAAATGAAAGAAATCTCTGCATGTTTGCAGTGTGCTTGGGGTTTGGGAAAGTAGTCATGGTTTAATCTTGGCTTAGTGTTCTGTACTTGTGTTTAAAAGTAATTGCAGCATGGCTTCTGGCAGCAGGAGCAAAGGGGCAAAGAAGATGAGATCTGTCGTTTTCACACCAGCGGCTGGTGAGTATGCCTAGCTAAATTAACTTCTACCAGCGCCTTCTGTAGAGCTGATTTGTAGAGAGTGCTTGAATTTGGTTTCATCAAGCAATGATTTAAAGTCTAGCTGGGTATAGTTGGCTGTGCTGAAACCTGTGGTCTCCTAGAGTCTGTACATCTGTCCAGATCCTTCTGTGTCTTTGAGTCTCCATCGAGACATTCAGTGTTTTTCCAATGGGCCTGCCTTCACATGCTACTTGGTCTTTTTCCTTTGCATTATTTAATATCTTCCTTTCTTCTGTGTGTTTAGTGCTTTTATTTTTTAAAGATTTTTTTTAAAAGATTTATTTATTTATTATGTATACAACATTCCTTCCATGTATGCTTTGCATGCCAGAAGGCGGCACCAGATCTCATTACAGATGGTTGTGAGCCACCATGTGATTGCTGGGAATTGAACTCAGGACCTCTGGAAGAGCAGTCAGTGCTCTTAACCTCTGAGCCATCTCTCCAGCCCGTGCTTTGATTTTTATGTGTCTTGGAGGATTGATTTTCTGGTTCTGTCTTTTTGGTGTTCTATAAGGATCTTGTACCTCCTTCATTGGGTTATAAGAATTTTCTTGGTTTTTATTGAAAACCTTTTCTCTGCTGTTGACTTGGGTTTCTCCTCCTTCCTCTGTTTCTATTACTCATAGATTTGGTTTTTTCTTTTTTATAGTTTGTCACATTTTCTGGATGGTTTTGCCAGGATGTATTTAGATTTAACTTTTTTTTTTGACTAAGGTGTCCGTTTCTTCTACCTGGTCTTCACTGTTTGAGAGTCTCCCTTCCATGTCTTGTATCTGTTTTGGGGACTTTTCTGAGTGTTTTGACTTCTTAAAGTTTTCATTTCCTGTTTTAGTGAATTTTGGGTTTTCCTTAGTGATTCTACTTCAACTTTCATGTCTTGCACAACACACTGTTTTTGTTTGTTTGTTTGAATGTTTGTTTTGTATGCATGTGTTTTCACAGACATCAGGGGCCCCTACTGGAGATCACATATGGGTCCTGCTACAGACTCCAGACAGCATTCCTATCTGTCACTGAGGACTCAGGTTCAATCAAGTATGTTGGGTAAATAGCTCACGTGACAGAACATTCTACACAGCAGCAAGGACCTGTTGAGTAGCCTTATCTTATCCTGGCCACACTCAAAGGCAGCAGCTTTCAAGTTCCTTAGCTATCTGGGTTATTCAAGTGAGGAATGCAAAGCTTTCAAAATCTAAATAGACTATTAAGCCCTGTGCAGCTCAGTCAGTAAAACTCCCACCCAGGCGTGAGCACAAAGCGTTCAGTTCAGCGAACTGAACAACAACCTCCACACCCACTTAAACAACGTAGTAAAGATCCTCTTCAACACAAACCTCAAGACAACTAAAAAAAATGGTCATGAGACCCTTGAAGATGGAGGATGCTCGTCAGTAGGACTGACCAGAGAGCACCGTCTTTCTCAGCACCAGAAGGCAACACGCAAGCTTCCAAATGACGGAAGCAACAAACGGCCTTACTCAGCTATGACAGCTATGAACCCTAAAGATGTAGTAGTTGCACACATGTATTAGAGGTACCCAACTTCTTCCTAATTGAGTATAAGATCCACTCAACAGGAAGGAATCCATGCCTAGTATTGAAAAGCTAGTCACCTGCCTAGGGCTGGTAGAGACATGGATCTTTCAGGAGAATCTACAATCACAATGTACTAAACCAGCATAATCTGTAGTCACATTTTAAATAATTCTCTTTATACCAACAGATAAGTGTATTTCTTCATCCACAATCAAGAAGACTTCTCTTTGTAAAAAATGGAGACCATTATAGAGAACAACAACCAGGCAATGTGCAGAGTTTTGAAGCCCAGCCCAGCTGATACACTTACAAAACAAAGCCCTCTCTTAAGGCTCAGGGACTATTGCAAGAAAGGTAGTAAGAGAGATGTCATAACTGGACACCCCTAGCAAGCCTGCCTTCTAAAGCTCCTACAAACGCTTGGTTACTTCTTATTTAGCAAATGCTCTGCTTTCTTGTAACTATCCATGGTGTTTGTGAGCTTCATGGCTGAGACTTAAGATCATGGAAATGAGAGTGGCCCCCTTACAGACTCACATGCCTGCCTGTAACAATGGCGAGGCAGGGTGGGTTTGCTGTTCCAGCCTCTGGAAAACTACTCCCTAGGGAAATGTGTCCCCAGTATCTGTGCCCATAAGTGATGTATTGAAGATCCCAAAGTGCCCAGCTTTACCCAAGGGTAAACATGAAAATCAGGTGGTGTAACTTGTGGCAACTGGTTCTATAGGCATGAAAACCCCAAAATTTGGTGAGTCATGGATTCTGAGAGACACTGAGGTGAGGCACCTGCTCTCAGGTCAGAGACTCTGCAAGCAGTTCTGAAAGGGGCCTCGTGGAACCGTGAAGGTGAAATCTAACTTGCAGTGGAGTTCACAGGATGTGCTGAGACTAGAACCACAGGATATCCACTAAGGAAAGCTGAACATATCAAGAGCCAGCCCAAGAGAGGCTACAGATCCTGCAGGAACCGTAGCTGAGGCACTCAATTGTCTGTGTCAGCCATGGGCATAAGGGTGGAGCTTTACCTGATGGGTTATTGTCTTGCTTTGGACCTTTCATTCCTTGCTGTGTCCCCATAATTCTATTTTGGGATGGAAATTTAAACTCTGCATTTGTCTGTTGGAAGTCTGTAATGAGCTGTTATTATTTTAATTACACACAAGGTAATCACAGTTAATGGGCTTTCTCAAGTCTAAGAAAAAAACCTGGATTTTGGAGATTTGAACCCTCCTGAAACTATGATGACTCCTGAGGTTAGGCTGAATGCCATTGCAGCAAGAGACAGCCGTGTATCCTGCACCGCTGGACTCTCTTGGGTCTGATAGGGTCACTTGAGCATACACTACATTCCTTTGACCACAGACTTTATCCTTTAGATGACTAGTACTTGGTCACAGCACAGTTAGAGCAGGTCACTGATATGTTTTATAAAATGAAATTTGTGGCAGAGGTCAGGACAGTGGGACAGAAGGTGCCTTCTCTGCTCTGAATTCGCCACTGTGGCCAATTATATTTGGTCAACTACTGCAAATTAACAAGTTGGAATCCCAGAAAATTCCTTGTTGACTTTCAGATCATTGCTGAAAGTAGACAACTGAATCCCTAGAAAGAGAGCTCCACCAGGGATGGGAAACTGACCCTATGATGAGAGAACCATCCTACTCCTAGAACACCATCCCACAGCCAGGTATATTGTCAAGCAGAAGGTTTTAATGATGTACAGTATTACTAAAATAAAACCAGAAAGCAAGCACAATGCTACATTTAAAGTCAAGCTTTAATTTTAAGATATTGTTGTAAAAAACATTTTATTAGCATGACTATGCCTGGCCATTCCTATCACAATGTTGCTATTAAATGAAGTCAGCATTTTCTTCTGCAGGGCACATGCTGGACAATGTGATGGAGAGAACCCCTCCTGCTCCTCCTTTGCACGGGTCCGTTCTCCTCAGCATCATCTTGGGCAGCAGGCTCCTGAGGCAATGCAAGAGCAAAGGAGTAAAGATTGCTTCACACCTGGGCTATCTTATTGTTGTCAATCATCCCCTCTCGTTACTCCGACTGGCAGAAAAGCACTTATGACCTCGATTAGAAAGACTACAGCACAGTGACTTTGTCAGAGTGCCTTCATGGTCACCATGTTTCATGCCCAACTATAGCACCCCAATCAAGAAGAAAAGATTGTCACCCACACCCCAGTATAAACTCTCTCCACACTCCGTAGAGCAGACCACTCAGTCCAACAGTGAAGCGCCAGCTGTTTCACAGCTGACGTCCGCGAGGGACGAGACACTGTCATACCTTATCTGCCACAGATGTCACTTAGTTGTTCTCTTCTACCGTCTCAGATTTAGACAAATCTTGTGTAAACTTTGGCCTTCCACAGCAACTTGTCCTGAATTCCTCATTCGTCTCCATGGAAAAGCAAACAAAAATATTGAGAAACAGGAGACTAACGGTAAAGATCCGAAGTGAAGAAACACAGAGTTAGTAACCCATTTCTCACTCACCATGTCGCTAAATTGGTTGAGGCCCATCGTGTAGCTGGTCTTGCCCTGTTCGTACTCTGCATTGTGTCTCTCGATAACTTTCTTATTTTCTTCCCACAGTGCTCTTCGGTGTCCTTCTTCATCCTGGAAACAAATACTATAGATGGTATTTTTTCTTATTAACACCCACACAAGCTGACCAAATAGAGTGTAGTCAAGAGGAGCCATGGACACGACAGCCAGCCATTGTCCACACTCAGAGAATTAGCCATAGTGCAAGTCTTCAGCAAGTCCTTAGTGATGGCTGGCCTCTGTGGCCGCATTTATGTCTATAGACTCTCAACAGCAGGGGGCATTCTTTCTGAAATCCCTCTGTACAGGGTCCATGTTACCAACCGGGCTGTAGGTTTTTTCAAATTTCTTCTTCCATTCCTCCCATTCAGCATCCAAACTGGGATCACGTGAATGAGCAGCTGAGGCCATTCTCAAGCAGGAAGACAGCACTGATCAGGTGAACAAGGACTTGTCCAATACCAAATGGTCAGCCCTGAAAACATTCACACAAGTAATTATGCATACTGATCAGGCTACATTTAGGAGTATATGTGTATATGCATATAGGCACATAGTTACAATAAATGAAAAAAGAGGCCAGGTTTTAAAATGACTCAGGAAGGGTGTTTCTGAGGGCATGAGGGAGGAAAAGGAGGGAGTAGCAATGATGTAATTCCACTAGTATCTTAAAACAATAAAACCAACCAAACAAACAAACAGATAAAAAAACAAAGAGAAAGAAAACCCAGGGAAAGAAGAGAAGTCCCAGGTAACCAGAGCAAAGCTGCGGTATGTTTCTAGAGCATGAGTCGGCCGGATCCAGGGCCTCTGTACCTTGCTTGTCTCTGTAGTGCTGCAGCTTCCGTTAAAAACGTGGACACCAGGACTGTGGTATGCAGGGCCTCCTAAGAGCTATTTATAAAAGAGTCCAGTGTTGCAAGAGCAGAGCAGCCCGTGGCTCCACCCCTTCCCTTCCGGAGCAAAGCCTAGCTTTTTCCTGAAGCCTCAGCCTGGTGCTCAGAGCAAGTCCTTAACCGGCTTGACTAGTGACTCATGCACACCAGGAAGGAAGTCAGAACTCTGCAGACTAACCAGCCCTTAACACCCATCTGTCTCATAAAGGATGTGGCTTTTCTGCGAATCCTAAGACTCAGATATGTCCTGTTTTATAAAATTGAAAGTCTTCAGAAACAACAGAATTGTGGGGAGGAGAACCCACTGGGGACAGTTTGTGTGTGCGCCACAGTCCTGCCTCAGGTTCTGCATCTGTATGGGGAACTGTGACAGCACTTTTGAAACATCAAGCAGTGTGTATCTGCCTGTGATTTCCTTACCTGAAACTCAGCCCCTGACAGATAGGAGCGCCTGCAGAGGGGAAGAAATAACCAGAAGGAAACAGAGATGTTAGAGATACTTTGTTATTCAGCCTGACCATCAGTTTCTCAGCCTAGGGCTCCACAGCTTTAGAAAAAGCATTGAAGTTGCTCAAATCAAAGAAGAGATACCTCATGTGCTCAAAAAGGTTACCCACAGAGTTTGACTGGACACGTGAAACTTTACCATGACTCTGGACACCCGAAACTTGCTGTGAGTGTCCCCAGCGAACACAGCTGGCCACATGGTTACAAAGCAGATGTAGTAAAAGCCAGAAAAGTGGTCCTTGGACTTCCCACAGGGCAGGGAACCCTGATTGCTCTTTGGGCTGATGAGGGAGGGGGACTTGACCGGGGGAGGGGGAGGGAAATGGGAGGCAGTGGCAGGGAGGAGGCAGAAATCTTTAATAAATAATTAAAAAAAAAAAGACTACCAAAAAAAAAATAACAAAAAAAAAAAGAAAAGAAAAGAGGATACAGTGTGAAAAACACAGAAAATATAAACTGCTGCAGGTGAAGAGATCTGGTTCATTCTTATTTTATATATTACAGGAAAAGGTTAAAACAAAGTAGATTTGTGCCCATTTTCTTTGGGGTTTTTTGAAGTTTTACTGTGCACTTGCCAGACAGATAATTGAAATTTAAGGATTTCGTATGTTGGTTCCAGGCAGAGTTGGTTAGACACAGCCCAAGAGAATGCGTGTGCCTCCCCTCAGTCAGGGTGGATTACCATTGGCCACGTCAGAGGAGCAGCAGATATCAATCAGGGGATTGGCCCACCAGGAAATGAAACTCTGCTGAGTTAAACTCCTCTGCAAGGCCTTGGCTCCGGAATGTCTCTTGCCTTTGGGGGTGGGGTGGGAGGGTGTGTGGAAGGAATGGGAGGAGGGAAGGGAGTGGGAATTTGGATTGCTACGGCTGTGTCTTTGTATGTTTGTCGCTGCCATCTCTCTCTGGTGTGTGGCGTGGTGTGGGGAGACCCGCACTGCCTATAACATAGTGTGTTTACCTCATGGAAATATTCTGTTCTCCTGGACATTTTTACCTGTGGATTATTATGAAGACGATTTCCTCCCAAGCTGTACTGTTTAACTGAAGCAATGATTTTATACAATAGTATTATTAGTTAAAATAGGATTTCGATGGTTGAGGGTCTTTAATAAATACAGTAAAGAATTATATCAGAGGTTAGGTTAATGGAAAAATTAACATAGGTAAAATTAGGATAAAGTTGCCTCTGCCTCTGATTTTGACTCTTATTGCTGCTGGGGACTGGCCCTAGGCAACCATAGAGGATGGAAGTCTGAGTTGTTATTATGTTAATTTCACACAAGGTAATCACAGTTAATGGACTTCCTCAAGTCTAAGAAAAAAACTGAATTTTGGAGATCTGAACTCTCTTGAAACTATGATGACTCCTGAGGTTAGACTGAATGCAATTGCAGCAAGAGACCATCAAGAATCTTCACGCACAAGTGGACACTATGGGTTTCTGATAGGGTCACTAGAAAATACACTACACTCTTGTGACTCTTGAACAGCTAGTACAGGTCACTGTAGTGGTATAGTATTTGTGTTTTAATAAATAAAGCTTGCCTGATGATCAGAGTGCAAAACAGACACTCTCATCAGTCACACAGGTCAGGCAGTGGTGGTACACACCTTTAATCCCAGCACTAGAGCAGAATATAAGATAGGAGAAGACAGGTCTCAGCTGGGTCTCAATCTGAGGGTTTGTGGAGGCAGGATCACCTATTTTAGTCTGAGGTAAGAGCCAGAGGCCGGCTGCTTTGCTTTTCTGATCTTCAGCTTGAACCCCAATATCTTTCTCTGGGTTCTTATTATTCATGCTATAAGTCACTGTTATGTTCATATAAAATGAGGTTCATGACACAGGATCAGGCCAGTGGGGCAGAAGGTGCCTTCTCTGCACTGAATGCTTTTCAATCACCAATTATACTTGGTTTTCTGATTTAAATTAGAAAGTTGGAACCCCAGAAAATCCAGATCATTGCTGAAAGTGGGCACCTGAAACAGTGGAAACTGAGCTCTACCAGGGATGGGAAACTGGCTCTGAAATGAGAGAACTCTCCACTCCTGTTAGCCACCCTAACAGCCAGTTATACCTTCAAGGAAAATGTTTCAATGATGCAAAATTTGATTAAAACAAAACCAGAAAGAAAGCACAATGTTACATTTAAAGTTGACTTTTAATTTTAAGACATTGTGGTTTACATTCTTTTTGTTAAAAAAGTAAAAATTCTTGTGAGAATCAATAATATAAAGTAAGTGAGAGCACAGATTAAGGTATTGTAGGGTTTGTTGAGTAAACGTGTTTTAGATTTTATATCACAGTGTGTATCTTAAAAGTTTTCAGAGTTGGAATCCACACAGCCCAGGCTAGCCTCTGTACTGGAGAGGCCCCCTGCTGTTTCTTCTTCTATTTTTCCCTTGTTCAGCCTTGTCACCATCACGCGGGTCACTTCTTGAAGCAGAGGGCTCCTGAGGCAATGCACATAGATTGCTTTATTCTGAGGTTAAAATAATGTTGCCATTTCTGCCAGAACCGTTACTCGGGCTGGAAGAAACACACTTGTTGCATTATTTACAAAGAATGCACCAAAGTGGCTTTGTCATTACCTCCCCTGTAACACATTTGTCTGACAAGGGAACCAACCATGTTTAAAACTGAACAATTAGTACAGCTACCCTGAGAAAGAAGAATTGGTTGTCACCTACAACCATGTCAACTGTAGGCACAGTCCAAAGAGCAGAACGCTTAGTCAAACAGTGAACTTTGTGCTGTTTGTAGCTGATAGAAGTAAGGACTTCAGCTCCTTGTCCGCTTCTTTGTGGGCACTTGTGGGTAGAAATGTGACAGTCATACCTGATCCTTCTCAGCTGTTACATTGTTGTCCTTTGTCAAATCCTTATATTCATGCTTATCACAATCCAGGTCTTCTTCTGCCCACATTAAGTTTCCACAGCAAACTTTCCTGAATTCTTCATAGGTCTTCATGAAAAAGCAAATAAAACATTGAAAACCAACCGATACTTGAAAGATGTATAGAGAAGAAACATAGAGTTAACAATCCATAGCTCAGTCACCATGTCGCTAAATTCATTCAGGCTTGCATAGATGCCGGTCTGGTCTTGCCCATACTCGGCATTGTGTTCATCAATCTTCTTCTTCTCCTCCTCCCACAAGGTCCTTCTGTATTTTTCTTCATCCTGATACATGGAAGAGACAGTGTTTCCTTCAGACAAGTCAAGAGGAGGCACGGAGAGGGGTCTCAGGACATGACAGCCAGTCATCCTCCACATCCAGAGGATGAGCAAATCTGGCCACTTTGAGTTCATAAGTGAATGTCTTTAGCAAGTCCTTAGTGATGGCTGGCTTCTGTGGCCATGTTTATGTCTATAGACGCTTAATAGCAGGGGCCATTCTTCCTGAAATCCCTCTAGACAGTGCCCATGTTACCAACCTGGCAATAGGTTTTTTCATATTTCATTTTCCATTCCTCCCATTCAGCATCCAAACTGGGATCTGGTGATGGAGCAGTTGAAGCCATTCTCAAGAAGAAAGACAGCACTGATCAGGTCTCAAAAACCTAGGGAACAAGGACTTGTCTAATACCAAATGGCCAGCCCTGAAAACATATGCACAAGTAATATTATGCATACTGACTAACATATGCATATGCATATATATATATATATATATATATATATATGCATGTAGCAACAATTAATGAAATAGAGGTCAGAATTTAAGGAAGAATTAGAAGTGTTATATCAGGAGAAGTACACGAGAGAGTTTTTAGGGCAGAGAGGGAAGACAACAATGATGTAATTATATTCTCTTAAAAAAACAAAAACCCTCAAAAAAAAGTATAGAGAAAGAAGAGAAGTTCCAGTTAACCAGAGCAAGCTATGAGGATGTTTTTGGAGCATGATTTGATAGGATCAGGGCCAGTGTACCTTGCTTGTCTCCGCTCCCACCTGAAGTGCTGCAGCTTCTGTTCAAAGGTGGAAACCAGGATTGTGATGTGCAGGGTCTCCTAAAGAGCTATTTATAAGGGAGTCTGGTGGTGTAGGAGAAGAGTAGCCTGTGGCTCTACCCTTTCCTTCCAGGAGCAGTGGCTAGCCCTTCCCTGAAGCCTCAGCCTGGCCCACAGAATAGAGATATAAGCTAGCTTGACTAGTGTGTTAAGCATCCCAGCTAGAGAAACATAGTTCTGAAGACTAAGCAGACCCCTGACCGAAGCTGTTTCACACAGAATGTGCTCACCTGACAGTCACAAGACTCATGGAATGTTCTCTGTTTTGTATAATTGAGTACTTCAGAAACAACCGAGTTGTCGTAGGATGAACCCATCGATGACACAGTAGATCCTACAGTCCTACCTCAGATTCTGCGTGTGTATGGAGAGCATGTGCTAGCCTAAGTACTGTGAAGGCACTGCTGGCAGCACATCTGAAGAATCTAGCAACGCGTACCTGTCTGTGGCTGCCTTGCCTGAAACGGATGACAGACAGGAGCGTCTTCAGGGAGGATAAATAACTAACAGGAAAGAGAGGTGTCAGAGATACGTGTCATTCAGCCCGACCATCAACATCTCAACCTACAGCTTTAGAAAAAGTATTAGAGTTCCTCAAACCAAAAACCAGGTGCCCCATGCACCCAGAATTAAATGGCCAACAGGGTTTAGTGGATAGGAGGAAATTGCTGTGTGGGCTTCACCATTCCTTTGACTAACACAGCTGTGCATTTGACTGCAAAGCAGATATGACAAAATTCAGAAAACAATACAGTGGCTTTGGCTGAGAAATTAGAGAAAATATACATTCCTATAGAATACAGAAAATACACATGTGATCAGAAGCTTTTCTTTCTATTTTGATATATCACATAAAAAGATAAAAGTATAGTTGTATGGCCACATTCTTTTGATGTTCTCTGGAGTTTGAATGAATACTTGTCTGTCTGATAATTGAGATTTGAAGATTTTTGGATGTTTGTTAAAAGCAGAATTGAATGAACAAATGGATACTTTCCTAAAAGATGCATTTGATCTCCCCAAGTCAAATTGGATGAAAATATAAGCAGAAATTGATATACACAGATAGCCATACAGTTTAATTCCATATTACAATCAAAATTAAAGAAAACTCTGCATGTTTGCAGTGTTCCTGATTTTTGGCTATGTGCTCAAGATATAAACTATGGTTATTGTTCTCTGCTATCTTCTTCTAGCCCTTATGGAACTTTCACCAAAATCAATTATATACTTAGACATAAAGCAAGTCTCAACAAATATGCAAAATTTGAAATAACACCCTCTGTTCTTTCTGGCCACCACAGATTGATGCTAAATATTGAAATCTTACAAATCCATGGAAATGGAACAACTTACTACTGAATAAAAATGGGTCAAGACAGACATCAAAAATATATTAAAACCTTTTCAAATTTAAATAAATATGAATACATAACATGTCCAAAATTATGAACACAATGAAGGTGGTCCTAAGAGGAAAGTTCATGGCACTAAGTACTTACTTAAAACAATTGATAGATCTTATACAAGTGACTAAATAGTATGCCTGAAAGATTTAGAACAAAAGGAAGAAATAATTTCCAAAGGTCAAAATATCATCAAAATTATCAACCATTGAAAACATATTTAAGATATCAGAAGATGGAAAGATTGCCCCATGCTCATGAGTCAGTAGGATTAATATATTGAAAATGGTCATCCCTTACTGTACAGGATTGTTTTAGCTGTCTTGGGTTTTTTTGTTTTGTTTTGTTTTTTTCCATATGATGTTCAGCATTGGTCTTTTGAGGCCTGTGAAGAATTGTGTTGGGATTTTAATGGGAATTGCATTGAATCTGTAGATTGCTTTTGGTAAGATTATCATTCTTATTATGTTGACCCAAACTATCCAAGAGTGTGGGAGACATTTCTATATTCTGATATCTTCTTAAATTTCTTTCTTCCAAGACTTAAAGTTCTTTTCAAACAGGTCTTTCATTTGTTTAGTTAGATTTACCCCAAGATAATTTATATTATTGGTGCCTAACATAAACAGTGATGCTTCTCTAATTTCTTTCTCAGCCCATTTATCATTTGTATATAGGAGAACTACTGATTTTTTTGAGTTAGTTATGTATCCTGCCACATTACCGAAGATGTTTATCAACTGTAGATGTTCACTGGTAGAATTTTTGTGGTCTCTTATGTATATTATTATATCATTTGCAAAGAGAAAAGTTTGACGTCTTCAAGGTAAAATAATCCTATATAATAAAGGTACTTCTGGGGGGCTGGAGAGATGGTTCAGAGGTTAAGAGCATTGCCTGCTCTTCCAAAGGCCTTGAGTTCAATTCCCAGCAACCACATGGTGGCTCATAACCATCTGTAATGGGGTCTGGTGCCCTCTTCTGGCCTGCAGGCATACACACAGACAGAATATTGTATACATAATAAATAAATAAATATTAAAAAAATAAAGGTACTTCTGGAGGCATCACCATCCCTGACTTCCAGCTCTATAGAGTTACAGTAATAAAAACAGTTTGGTATTAGCATAAAAACAGACATGCGGACCGATGAAATTAAATTGAAGACCCTAATATTAATCCACACACTTATGAACACCCGAATTTTGACAAAAAAGCCAAAAATGTACAATGAAAAAAAGAAAATATCTTTAAAACATAGTGCTGGTATAACTGAATGTCAATATGTAGAAAAATGCAAATAGATAAATGTCTCTTGTCATGCACAAAACTCGAGTCCAAGTGGATCAAAGACTTCAACATAAATCCAGTTACACTGAACTTGATAGAAGAGAAAGTAGGAAATAGCCTTGAATGCATTGGCACAGGAGACCACTTCCAGAATAGAACACCAGTAGCACAGACACTGAGTTTGACAATTATTAGATGAGACCTCCTGAAACTGAGAAGCTTCTCTAATGCAAAGGACATGGTGAATAAGACAAAACAACAGCCTACAGAATGGGAAAACTCATCAACCCAACATCTGACAGAAGACTGATATCCAAAATATATAAAGAACTCAAGAAACTACACATCATAATACTAAATAATCCCAATAAAACTGGGGTACAGAATTAAACAGAATTTTCAACAGTAGAATCTCAAATGGGCAAGATACACTTAAAGAATTGTTTGACATCATTAGTTATTAGGGAAATGCAAATTAAAATGACTCTGAGATATCATCTTACACCTATCAGAATGGCTAAGATTAAAAACACTAATTCAGCCTATGTTAGAGAAGATGTGGAGTAAGGGGAACTCATCACTGCTGGTGGGAGTACAAACTTGTACAGCCACTTTGGAAATCAGTATGATGACTTCTCAGAAAATTGAAAATCAATTAAGACCCAGCATACACTCTTGGGCATGTACCCAAAGGATGCTCAATCAGACCACAAGGACATTTGCTCAGATATGGTTATAGGAACTTTATTTGGAATAGCCAGAACCTGGATAAAACTTAGATCACATCTACTGAAGAATAGGCAAAGAAAATGTGATACATTAACACAATAGGATATTAGTATTACTCAGTGGAAAAAAGCAGTGACATCATGAAATTTGTAGGCAATTGGATAGAACTAGATTCTGAGTGAGGTAACCCAAACCCAAAAAGAAAAACTCACTCACAAGTGAATATTAGATGTAAAACAAAGGATAACCAGGCTAGAATCCTCAGTCCCAGAGAAGCTCAGTAACAAGGAAGACCCTAAGGGGATCACATGAATCTCCCTGGGAAGAGAAAATAGATCAGATGTCCCAGATAAACTGGGAGTAGGGGGAGAGGGGGAGGGGATAGGGGTTGTGAATGAGGGATCAGGATGGTCTAGTTGAGGTCAGGGCAGAAGAGGAGAGTAACAAAACAGATATCTTGATAGAGGAGGCCATAATGGGGCTAGGAATAAACCTGGTGCTAAGGAAATTCCTAGGAACCCACAAGGATGAAGCCAGTGGTGTCTATCTGGTGTAGGTATGGATGTTCACACAGGTTTATGGGAAGAAGTACAGAGCCACCTCAAGGCTGATTTTAACCTTTCCAGTTGCAGGAGGCCTCAGCTTCTCTCAGACTGAGAGATGAGCAAAGGGTCCTTTTATTTTAATACAATTCACACTTGTATCAAGTCAATTCTGATACCAAAGTCTTTGATCAGAGTCCCCCAGAGGGACAAGACCAAATGCAAATTCTCAGCTAAGAATACCACAGTTTTCTGGGGGTTCCTTAAACTAAGCTTTCATAGGCTTTGATCCCCCAGGAAGACTCTCAGATAAGACTTTAAACAGAATATACAGGGGCAGCAGGTAACAATCACAAAAGGCAGATCAAAAGCTAGAAAATAACACTCCAGAGTCAAGTCTGCTGCAGAAATCTGTGGGGGCTCATTCCATACCCCAGCTAAGACTCCTAGCAATAGTGAAGAGTGTGCCTGAACTGATCTTCCACTGTAATCAGATTGGTGACTACACTAATTGTAATCATAGAGCCTTCAACCAGTAACTGAT